TGTACTGAAAATTATATCAAAATATATTATGTTTATTTATAATTATAGAGTGACAGATGATGTTGGAGGTTCTGGGGAACCTGGAAGTATTGAAAATGTTTCTGATGAGAAACAAAGTATTGAGGATTTTCGAAGCAAAAGGTATGGTAATCTGTATTTAATTAGAGTTATCTTTGTAATCTTAATTTTTGTATCTTTTTTATTGCTATTTCAAGAGCTTTTGATTAAGCAGAATGCTTTTAATATTTACTCTTTTTTTCCCTGTTTTAACAACATCATTGAAAAATTGAACAATATATGTCCTGCATGCAAAATGAAAACTACGATGCATTTATGCATGACCCGTGAATAAAACTTGAATAAAAGAGGACCTTATTTAGCCGTTTTCTGTAGCTGTAAAATATAAATTTGAAAAATAAATGTATTGAAAACATATAAAAAAAATAGCTGAATACAAAGAATTATGATTTCAAAACTCCACCTGTGACATAGTACTTTCCTGACTTCATAGCCACTATTAAAAAATAGTGTTTTATTTTTACTTTAAATGTGCCAAAAATAATTGCTTATAATTGTAATCGTAAGATATACAAGTACTTTAAAAAATTTATATAATCTAACCTTTTCTGCCTGTACTTTCAAATTGTTTCCCTGATAATACTCATAACGTTCCTGTACATAATTAGAAAACGAATTTTTATGTTTAAAATAGATTATAATATATTCTTCTAATAAAAAAATTAGTACTATCTTTACTTCATAGCCACTATTAAAAAAATGCTTTATTTTCGCTTCAAATGTGCCAAAGAAAAATAATAACTTATAATTATAAGATATACAAGTACTTTTAAAAATTTAAAATAATCATATCTCATTGTTTGCAGTTTCAAATTAATTCCCTGGTAATACTCATAACATTCTTGTGCATAATTAGAAAACGAATTTATATGTTGAAAATAAATTAAAAAATATTCTCTTAATAAAAAAGTTTTTTTTTTAATGATCCAAGTTATGATTTCGTAATTATATACCACTGTAACAATACTTTTTTTGTTCATCTTTTTAATAACTAAAAATAGAGGAGTTACTGTCTTGTCAAAAGCATGTAAATTGTTCGAAAAAGTTATTGGAACATGAGTTTAAATGTTTATATATTAATTAAAGAATTAAATAATTCCATTTAATGAAATTAAACCCTTTTAATATAAAAATATACTTAAACTGAATAAAACTTCAGCTTAAGTATAAAATATTTAATGTTAATTGATAACCTTAGCAACTAAATTAAATGCAACTATAATAGTGACTCAACTATTACATAAAAATAGCAATATATCTAATATTTTTAAATTCACTAGTATTTTTTTTATATTATAATTATAAAGGCTTATTTTAATACAAAGAAACTTTACCTTGTTCACCTTTGGACACAAAACTTGTTGATTTTAAAAATAACAATATTTGTATTCTCATATGATTTAGTTGCTTATCAAAATAACTTGGTATAGATATTACTTCAATTATAAGAAATTATTTATTTTTACAGAGAGGATATTAAGGAGTGTGATTCCATTTTGAATGGTGAAGGAGGAGACTGCACTGCAGATAACAACGGAAAAAAGAAAGGGTTTTGGTCATCTTTGAAAAACCTGCTTTGTTCATGCTGCAGTAGGAAATAAGTTGGAATGAGTGGAAGTATAATGTAAAAAAAAAAAAAAAAAAAAAAAAAAAAAAAAAAAAAAGCTGAAAGGATTGAAAAGATTGTGAGATACTTGAATGTCAAAGAAGAAAATTGTACTGCTGGAAAAAAAAGCAGTTCTGTACTTAAGAAACAATTATGTCAATGAACGCAATTTCATGATTTGATAGATATGATTTTGCTTAAAGGATGGTAAAGAACAACTTGAATAACGAAGGAATTGTTTTACAGAGTGGGAAAAAAAAGAAAAAACTATTTTGCACTTAAGAACGAAAATAAGCTATTTTTCATGCCACAGAGATCAATAGTTAAATAGATATTTTTGCAAAAAAAAAAAAAAGGAACTTAAATTATAAGAAAAGTGCATAATTGGTATTACAATAAAAAAAATAGTATCACTCTGAAAAAAAAAAAAAAAAAAAAAAAAAAAAAAAACAAGGGGTACGATTATAGATCCACCTCCTCGTGGTGTACCCCGGAAACGTTTTGACGGCTAAGAGATCTATAACTTTCAACTTCATCAGTTTTTTTTTCCTCTTCTGAGATTTTTTAATCGGCTTATTTTGTATTGAAATTCAACTGACTCCGCCTTGCTTAAAAGGCTTGATTTGCTACAATCCTTAAGAAACCGTTAGATTTACATTTTCCCATGACAGGAAGCAAATTTAGAGATGAAAATTCTTTGTTGCGTCCCATTATCAACTTTATTTATTGCCTAAGTTTTGACAAACCCCCTGTAAATTTCAACAAACATAAAAAATAATATCTTATCTCAATTTTACACCATTAAACAAATGGACAATACTGATGATAAGTATGAAATTATGAAATTTTAAACATGGAAGGGGTGTCATTTCTTCAGAATCTATTCTTTATACTTCCCTCTATCATAAAATCAGCTCTCTATAATAATGAATTTCTGGTACCCACATATGTATTTCATTCGTTTAAGCTCATTATAAAGAAACGTTTCAAATTATCTATGTATATTATTTAAAAAATTATAGTATTATTTCTCTTCCCGAATTTCACAAAAGTTTCGTTCAATTCCCCCTTTTGTGTTGAAACTTTAAATTGATTTTTTTTTTTTAGTTTAAATTGATAAGTCTCAAAAACTACTGAAGATATTTGCATGAAACCTGAAATATACATTATTTAGAAATTTTACATTAATTTATTTTCAGAAAATTGGAAAACTTGTTTTAATTATATTTATATAATATATTATAAAAGAGAACATTTCAGAGGGAAGTAGATAGACCCAAATGATATTTTTAACAGTTGACAATTCTTGAAATAAGAATCAAATCTAAAAAATTTTTCATCGTTCTATCGTTCTCTTAATAAATCCCAATTCATAAATAAAAATGGCTATTTCAGCACGATTCATATCTGAATTTATTTCCGTTCCAGTTGGCTGCTTTGTAGCTCGTAAGATATTTTTACTACAAGTTTAGCAGTTAATAATTCTCGATAACTATCGATTTTTTTTTAATTTCATTTTACTCCCTAAACACTTTTTACACACGTTTGTAATTTAATGTTTTTAGTTTTTATTTTGAGTCTTATTCAGCCCTATCAAGTTTTTCAGCTGGGGATTTTTTAATGTTGAGTTGTTGTTGTTGTTAATTTACGTCGCACTAGAGCTGCACAATGGGCTATTGACGACGGTCTGGGAAGCATCCCGGAGGATACTCCGAAGACATGCCATCACAATTTTGATCCTCTACAGAGGGGATGGCACCCCCGCTTCGGTAGCCCGACGACCTGCGCGCGAAGTCGAGCACTTTACGGTAGCACAGTTTAACGAGGACCAATACCGCACACCCTCGGTCCCTACGCAGACTGATCCAAGTGGTCACCCACCCGCACACTGACCGCAGCCAGTGATGCTTGATTTCGGTGATCTGCTGGGAACCGTGTCTTAACGATCAGTCCACTACGGGACTTTTAATGTTGAGAGACAAACATTTCGCTAATTCAAAAATGACAGTAAAAAAACAATAAAATGTACGAATTTCCAATTCGGAATTGCATTTGCAATTTTTTCATCATTTAAAGTGGCCATAAAATTTATCTATTAAATCTATTTACTTATTTAAAGTAATTTTTTGATAGAGTTATCATACTAATCGAAAATATTTCTGTCATTTTGTTAGAAATAACGATAAATGGCCAAGAGCAAATACTTTAACCAATTTTAATTTACTAAACATTAATCACTAAGCTCCCCTGAGAAATTAATTGTTATATACCTCTCCCTCTAACTTCGCATGCAACTGGTTCTTTGGGTTAAGTTCAAAATTGCAAATATTCCAAAGTGAGCAGCACATCTGAAGTTAATAATTTGTTCAATGAAAAAGGAAATAAAAATCTGTTACGTAAAATTAAAAAAAAAAGTTATATAACAAAAAAGTCTTAAACAAATACACATGCGCAAGCAAATTTATTTAATTTTTGTAATGATAATATACATACTTGAAAAATTTAAATGATCATAGATCCGAAAAATTACATTATCTTTTTACCATTTCGAGAATTGAAAAATGGGCCTTCTCATTTCATATCACCTTTTTACTCTACAAACAAAATAACTTGATCCCTCATTGGACCAAAATTCAAGAATATTTCCTCAATAAGGATTCAAAGAATCGTTATTTCTCCGATATTGGATTATATAGAACTGTTCGATTCACCTCATATTTTACAGCCACTTTACAACCAATATTATCCCTATATAGAACTGTCCGATTCACCCAATATTTTACAGCCACTTTACAACCAATATCAGCCCTACATAGAATTCAGCCGGTTTTTATATTCATTGTTAAGCCAATATAGTCTCTATATTGACCCTATATAGGCCATTCTTGAACCAATATTAAAAAATCAAGAAATCCCAATATTGGTCCCTCGCTGTATGTTCAGATAGGACTTAATATGTCAATTTTGGCCATTATATAGGCCTATTAATACGGGCCAATTTTGAACCCAACTGGGGCCAAGGTAAACTTATTGCTTGGGAAACTGAAAGAGCAATATACTTACAAGATATTCATTATAATTTCAAATTAATCCTTTGAATAATTCGCTTCCATTGATGTCGTTATCTTAAAAATTTACCAATATCTTTTAAAATAGAATACGTGATTTTGCAAATCTCAGCTTTTGATTTCACAACGTTAAATATTTCAATTTAATTATGCCTCTTATCAATCTTTCAATCTATGCCAATCAATCGAGTGTTGAAAAAATTCCATTCATTTCTTCTTTTTGATCGAATTAAATTCAATCTAAATCATTCATATATAAGTACGACCATAACATTCAGACAGTATTATTCATATCAAACTCAAGTAATCAACATGATCGCTCAGGTAAAATTACTTTTTCCATTTTTTATGAATGTTTTTTTTTTTTTTTTGTATAATATTTCACTTCCAGTAGTTATTGAAGAAAAAATAGTTATTTTAAAAGTGCTTAACTTTGTAAAAGAATTCTTTTCCTTAAAAACGCTATTTGTTAATAACTTCTTTATCAATAATGCAGCTAAATTTAACTTGTTACTTAATGAAAATTAGTTCATGCTTTGTAATTAAATCAAATTTCATTACTATCTAATAAATTGTAGCTTTAAATAAATATTGAACATAAAAACATATTTAAAAAAGTTTTAAAAATTTATATTTTTAAACTAATTTTCAGTTATTATACATCATTTATTAAGTAATTGTCATAGTGAAATTATTTTTATATTAAGATATGATTTGTTTCAAAAAATTACAGTACCTTTGAAAATGTAAACAAAAATTCATATTTTATGATAATACATTCTTTTAAGGGTTTAAACGATTTGTCCAAAGCTTAAATAGATTAAATTCTGTAAGTTTTGAACAATTTACTGTTATTTTTCTTCAAAATTTGAAAAAAAAAATAATAGTATTATAATAATAGTATAATAATAATAATATATTAAATATTGTAAACAAAAATTCATATTTTATAATAATACATTCTTTTAAGGATTTAAACGATTTATCCAAAGCTTAAATAGATTAAATTCTGTAAGTTTTAAACAATTTACTGTTATTTTTGTTCAAAATTTGGAAAACAAAATAATGAATTATATTGAAGTCTGGCTTTGTTAATAAAATGAAAGTAAAACTTAAACATATTTCGAGTTTTAAAGATGTTATTCTATTTAATGCTTCTTAAAGTTAAAATGACTAATTAAAAATATTTTTTTTCCTAATATTGCTTATAATGTTTTTAAATTTTAAAAATATCTCAAATATTAATCATTAAAATATTATGTATAATTTTTTAAGCAAGTTTCTTGATTAGTTTTTGGATACCAATTTGTGCAAACTATTCTAAGTAGCATCTAAATTGATAAATATCAATGCATTTGATGAAAAAACTATTTTAAAAACAATTTTTTGCATTAATTTCTCAGAGCAGTTTATTTACTTATTCATATATATTATTAAAATTAATAAAAAAAATGTTTTTACGTTAATTTAAAGAAGCATGAGTATAACTTGAAGTAAAATTTCTTATTTATTAATAGACATTTAATATTATAAATGTAAATCAAATCCAAGTAATAAAAAATGATAAAAATAGTTCTTAAAAAATATTAAATCATATAAAAAAATAAAAGTAATAGTTCTTCATTACGTTGCGATGAAAGTTTATAAATAGCTCATGTAAAAAAATATTAATTAAACATATTTGAGTTGTTAAATGATTGTGAAATAAATTAGTAGGAATAATAAAAAAATTAATTTTGTATGCTCCTTACTAAATCTATACATAATAATAAGCGCGGCTGTGTGCGTGTCTGTTTGTCTGTCTGTAATCACAATATATCGCCCCAGAAGCCTCGCTCAGGCACAAAACTCGGCACATAATTGTTTTTTGACATAATGAAAAATAATTTTTTCTCTTTTTTACAAAAATTTGGACTAGTTTTTTAGTTATCAGTCATTTTGTAAGAAAATCTATGCTTTTTCGTCTTCAAAGAGCCATATTCAAAAAACTATTAAAAAATGCATATACTTTTCTCCATTCTTATAAATGTATGCTAATGCGAACCTTACAATTTAAATATTAATTTTCGACAACTTAAGCCTATAATATACGAAGGAATTAATGATTTAATTGTAAGGTTCGCATTAGTTTACATTTATCAAAGTGGAGAAAAGTTTAACTTTTGTCTGCAGCAGAACTGGATATGAAGACAAAATTGCAGGACAGGAACACTTTAATTGTCCACTAATCTTCAGATTTCCTGCTATGTTTTAAAAAACTTTATTTGTGAAAACTCTTAGCGTGGCGGACAGCAGCTGGACGCCTTAGGCGGCTAGTGAAACATAAATTAGAGAACTTAGATTAACTCATTTTTATTGTTAAATCCAATCAATTATTCCACATTTAAACATAAAAATCAAAGCAAAGAACTGTTTAGAGTTTATTTGTTTTTTTTTTTTTTTTTTTTTTTTTTTTTTTTTTTTTTTTTGCTTTAACTCTGGTTACGGTTGTCGCATCTAACTTCAGGTTTGAATTAAAACAAAAGATGTAACTTTGCAAAAACAAAAATTAGGTTTCATTTATTTTACAAAATTTTGAGTTGAGTATTACTTAGGAATCTTCAATATTTTCCAAAACGCTTGACCTCTGAAGCTTTTCGAAGATATTTTTTTCAAACCTTTTTCCTTCAATTGGGTATAATATGAAAAAAACACAACTACTTCTACTTACTAGGAATAACATTTACCTTTTAGTTTAATTAATAAGCTGAGTTCTAAATATGTTTACTAAATTCATATTTCAAAAGGAACTAGACTAATACAATTCCAACCTGCCGAGTAGCGACTTATAACAACACACTTCGTGTAATGTTTACTTGTTGCTAAAAATCAGGTTCGCAGAAAATGCTGTTTTTTAGTTAAATGTAATAGGAACAACACATCCTGTGACGTAGGCTATAGTATACCCAATTGGATGCTAGCAAATGACGTCAAGCGTAAGTAAGCCAATCATGTTCGACACATACGCATGACGTAGCTATCAGATATTCAATTAAATATGATCCGGAAATAGTAAGCCTTAAAGCTGTAACGTTAAGACGCCATGCATGCGATTAGTTTCAAGTATCCAATTGTAAATTTTTGTCACATATTTTTTGTTTTGTTTTTTAATTTTAAGAGAATTTTGAAAGTAAAGAAAATTTAATATCTTACGTAAGCATCACTTGAAACTGTCTTCTCGCCTTTGTAGCAGATATAAGCAAATCACAACACATCCCTTAGTGCTTACATAATATTTCAATGGTCACCAGCATACATATTTTACTGTAATATTCAAAAAAAAGTGAAAAGCTATTACAATATTAATACTTATTTCAATTTAAAAAAAAGTAGAATTTTTAGAAAAATGTAAAAAAAAAAAAACATTAATTTTAAATATCAAATTTATATATTTTCAGGTATTTCTCTTATCCGCTTTAGCAACCATTGCTCTGGCCCACCTGCATGAAGTAAGTTCATTTAAATAGTATGCCTTATTATAATTTAGATTCAATTTGTTCAGGTACTAATTTTTATATTTCTTTCGAAATAATTATGATATTTAAATTAATTTAGAGCTAATTATTTTGTTCATATCCGTTAAGCATTATTTGTATATTTTAGCTCCATTACATCGTATTAAGTTATGATAGGAATAAAATATCTTATTTAGCTTCAAAATATTCTAAATTTTCTTATTTTAAGTTTTGATGAAGCTATTTTAGATGATTTAATGTGAATACTGCTGATTTGAAGATATAACAATATTTAGAAGTTTTGCATACTTCGTCCAATAAAAAAAACTCAGTGCTGATTTTTGAATCATATTTAGATATTAGGTCTGACTATCGATATTTGGAAATACTTAATTTTCCAAAATAATGCTCAAAATAAATCAAAAGAAAATAATTGAAGATGTGTAACAAATATTTACGTCACATTTATAGATCACATTAACACACACGTTAGTTGTTAACATTTCATAAATCAGTACAAGCAAAATAAAAAATGTTAGAAATTTTTCGATGAAGCTTATGTTGAATGTATTAATTCCATTTCGTCTGTAACATTCATTAAAGTAATTTTTCTTATTTAGGCAATTCACCATGCACCCAAACCCTACAAATTCGGATACAGCATCAAGGACAAACATGGAGAACAACACAGAGAGGAATCCGGAACAGGAGGACACGTGACTGGCAGCTACGGGTTCACAGATGATAGAGGCATCAAAAGACAAGTAAACTACGTTGCTGACCATGCTGGATTTCGAGCTCAGGTCAAGACCAACGAACCTGGAACCGCCAATCAAAATCCAGCTGCCGTTCAACTGATTTCCGATGCCCCTTACACCGGTGGTGAAGGATATTTGGGTGTCCCTGCAGCAACAGCTGGATACGGACTTGGTGGTCTAGGTTACGGTTACGGAGGACTTGGTGCAGGATATGGTGGAGCTTATGGTGGATATGGAAATCTTGGATATGCCGGAGCTTATGGAGGTTATGGACAGGGAATCTTGGGAGGCTTAGGCTATGCCAGATATGGATATTAATGTATATATATTTAAATTATATAAAAATAAATTATTTAGCAAATTACTCCTTGCACTTTATTATTTCTATTGAAACATCTGATACAATATTTTAAAAAAAATTAAGATTAATATTGCCTCTAAAAAAAAAATTTTATATTATACATTGTAATCACCACGCCAAAAATAAAATTGAAAAGTATACACCTTACACGTTTCAAATTAATATTGAAAAATTGCATATTTGTAGGCTTAAAAATGTTTTGAAAAAAATAATATAACTTAATGTGTACCATATTTTTAAGTAAAACGTTTTAAAATGAAACTAAATAACGTATCTTAAAACAAAATATAATACGCAAAAAATTAGCTTGATTATACCTTAAAGTATATCATCAGGTCTGTTGTTCTTTCCCACTTTTTTAAGAATTGGAGTGTTTAAAAATAGAAGATTTTTAATTCGGCCAGTAGTTAAGTGTTTAGATTCGAAAGAAATTCACGACAAAGATTTTTCTGTTTTAACTGCTTTGCTAATGTTTCAATAAATCAAACCTGAGGTTAACATCGGCTCCAAGATCAAAAAACGTGACCTGATTTAGAGTGTTTTTAAGGTTTTTTCACGAACAACTCTCTAATTTGAAAAAATATAAATCGGTACATTTTGCGTAAAAGGAGCTTTAATTTATGTTTTGTTTCAATAATGCTTACTTGACCTGCTGTGAAAATTAAATTAAAGTGTCAGTTTTTTAAATAAATTTTATTTTTTGCCATAATGAATGCCAAAATAAAATAAAAAACATTTTGGTAACAAAAATGTTTGATAAAAGGCTACTTCCATAATGTTTTGACTGCACTTTCTCGCTCAGTTGTGTTACTAATTTACCAACTGGTTGATTCCCCCCACCCACCATTGGTACAAGGGAAATAAGCCTGGAGCTTCTTTGACCCTTCCCTTTGAAAGGAGAGTCTGCACCACCATCTCCCGCCTAGCTACCGGCCATCTTAAAGGTTTACTATTTTCTGAGGGAACTAAAGCCTACCCCCTCTGCCNAGCTTTATATATATAATTGTCTCTAAAAAAATTTCTTTTATACTATACACTTACACGTTTCAAATTAATATTGAAAAATTGAATATTTGTAGGCTTAAAAATAATTTGAAAAAAATAATATAACTTAATGTGTACCATATTTTTAAGTAAAACGTTTTAAAATGAAAGTAAATAACGTATCTTAAAACAAAATATAATACGCAAAAAATTAGCTTGATTATACCTTAAAGTATATCCATCAGGTCTGTTGTTTTTTCCAACTTTTTTTCAGAGCTGGAGTGTTTAAAAATAGAAGATTTCTAATTCGGCCAGTAGTTAAGTGTTTAGATTCGAAAGAAATTCACGCCAAAGATTTTTCTGTTTCAACTGCTTTGCTAATGTTTCAATACATCAAACGTGAAGTAAACATCGGCTCCAAGGTCAAAAAACGAGACCTGAAGTAGAGTGTTTTTGAGGTTTTTTCACAAATAACTTTCTAATTTGAAAAAATATAAATCGGTGCATTTTGCGTAAAAGGAGCTTTAATTTATGTTTTGTTTCAATAATGCTTACTTGACCTGCTGTGAAAATTAAACTAAAATGTCAGTTTTTTAAACAAATTTAATTTTTTGCCGGAATGAATGACGAAATAAAATAAAAACATTTTGGTAGCAAAAATGTTTGATAAAAGGCTACTTCCATAATGTTTTGACTGCACTTTTTCGCTTAGTTATGCTACTAATTTACCAATCCTCAGACCCTTCTATTCTATCGGGAAGTAGACATAGGTTGAAAAACTTTTGATCTATGTTTACCTCAAACCTTTGACCTGTGTTTATACACTGACTTTAATACACCATCTTGTTTTTAAGCGATCAGCTAGCACTGAGGTCATAAGTCACGCGTCAGGGTATCAATGATCACCATCTTCTCAAGATGCAAGTACCCAATTGTCTACTGTTAAATTTATATCAGTAGAGAGTTCTAAGCCAATGAAAAACTCAAACTTCTTTCTAAAACGATCTAATCGAAATATTTGTATGATTTTTTAAGATAAAGTGAAAAATTGATAAAGTGATAATTGAATTGATGATTGAAAAAGTGATAATTGCTTCTTTCCCCTACTGTAAAAATTTGAAGACGGTAACTCAAATAATTCTGGAGTTATAAGACAGACATAAATACGCAAACTCTTCATTTTATTAATGAAGATTATTTGAAGTCGTATTTTTATGTAAAAAAATACCATTTAAAATCATTAAAAAAGCATGCGCTTTATTACCTATTATTCTTACAGTTTCCTATTCCTGTCTTAAGTATTGCGTGGTTATAATGAGTTCAATATTTATTACTTACATAAAAACATTGACAATATTTTTGTTTGCAACATGTATTTTGCAGGACTTGGATTGTAATATTCAGCTTTTACTTTAATTAATGTAGCACAGTGGTAACCAGCTAGAATTTTTACTATTTAACAATATCATATTCATTTTCTTTTATTAGTAAATTTCGTCACCGTATTTTCGTTTCAAATTACTCCATTTAATGAAGTAGAATAACACAATAGTAATACATATTGTTGCAAAGACATCAAATAAGTTTTTGTTGATGGACAAATAGGGCCAAAATAATATGTTCCAGATTAAGGGAAAGCAAACTTTATTAAAAAAGGAAAAAAATTACGTTTCTCCGTTTACCTACTTTCACCTTAGCATGAAGGGGGCAGAAAAGAGTCCTATTTAAATAGGGGCATATTTAAAGAGTGAAAAAATAAAAGTCGTCAAAACATCAAGGAAGTAATTGTTATTAAAACATTAATGTTTCTAAAAAAATTTTACTTCATGTCAGCATCAAATGAAATTTGTTTAAAAAGTTGACAATTTAGGTCTACTTTCACAATAGATTGAAAGTATATTGGAAACAGAACGTATCATATTGGTTCTGATTTCATGCAAAGCTTACCGTTAAAAACTTTTTTACTTACACTGTTTGTGGGACATCTTAAAAAATAGCAAAAACACCCAATTTCAAGTTACGTTGTTTGATCTGGAAGCTAACACTCACTTCCGTGAAGCGAGAAAACTTAGCATGCAAAAAAGATATTATCAAAGAAATTAAAAACGAAAGGAAACTTTTCCCTGCAACTATTTTCTCCGAACTTCGTTTGTTTTTGTTTCCTGGCTACTTGGATAATCATTCAAACCTTAGGAAAGCGAAAAACGTTAAAACTTTCATATTTTACTATGCTGTAAAAAAAAAATCAAACTTAGACACCAAAATTCCAGACGACTAATACCTCCTAAATTTAAATACGACCCGAATTTTATTCCTTCTCCCAAAGTTTTCTGGAATGCCCCTCTCTCTATATTTATCGCATTTCGAGAATTTTAGGGTCATGTATTTGATTTGTATTAAAGAAGAATTTTGAAACTAACCTTTTCCTCTTCTTTTGAAGCAAATCGTTAAAAATTACTAAATTTTCTGTACGTTTTCTTCTTTTAACTTCTGAATTAATTCTTAAATTTACTTGCTTACAGCATCATTATCCCCCCCAAATCCCTTCCTATTAAAAAAATAATATTTATAAACAATTTTGGCTAAAAGTAGGTAAAGGTGGGATGAAAAAAAGCCACGAGCAATGAAATTTTCTCGCAATGAAAATTTCTCGCAATAACTTTGGGTCTCTTCAAGGGAGTTAACAGTTAAAATTCTTCTTTGGACTAGAGAGATGAAAACTTCTAAGACATGAATAATTGTAATAAAAGTAAAACTTAGGTGTTATTTATCCCTATTAAATTATAACAAATAAAGCGTTAAAAGGAATAGGTTTTTCCAGCTTTTTTACATGATTTAATGATCTATTTTGTATCAAAGCTTCTAGCCTCCCCCCCCCCTTTCCATTCTAAGTACCCTTAAGAAATAAAAATGTTTTGTTACAATTTTTATTGTAAGCGGATATGATGACAGATTATGGTAAGAAGCTTGAAAAGACCGAAAACCAATTGAAGCCGATTTTTGCCGAAATCGAAGTTAAATACTTCAATTGCTTAAGGCTGTTGTACTAGGATGGCAAGAAGCTTTATATATATATATATATATATATAGAGAGAGAGAGAGAGAGAGANGAGAGAGAGAGAGAGAGAGAGAGAGAGAGAGAGAGAGAGAGAGAGAGAGAGAGAGAGAGAGAGAGAGAGAGAGAGAGAGAGAGAGAGAGAGAGAGAGAGAGAGAGAGAGAGAGAGAGAGAGAGAGAGAGAGAGAGAGAGAGAGAGAGAGAGAGAGAGAGAGAGAGAGAGAGAGAGAGAGAGAGAGAGAGAGAGAGAGAGAGAGAGAGAGAGAGAGAGAGAGAGAGAGAGAGAGAGAGAGAGAGAGAGAGAGAGAGAGAGAGAGAGAGAGAGAGAGAGAGAGAGAGAGAGAGAGAGAGAGAGAGAGAGAGAGAGAGAGAGAGAGAGAGAGAGAGAGAGAGAGAGAGAGAGAGAGAGAGAGAGAGAGAGAGAGAGAGAGAGAGAGAGAGAGAGAGAGAGAGAGAGAGAGAGAGAGAGAGAGAGAGAGAGAGAGAGAGAGAGAGAGAGAGAGAGAGAGAGAGAGAGAGAGAGAGAGAGAGAGAGAGAGAGAGAGAGAGAGAGAGAGAGAGAGAGAGAGAGAGAGAGAGAGAGAGAGAGAGAGAGAGAGAGAGAGAGAGAGAGAGAGAGAGAGAGAGAGAGAGAGAGAGAGAGAGAGAGAGAGAGAGAGAGAGAGAGAGAGAGAGAGAGAGAGAGAGAGAGAGAGAGAGAGAGAGAGAGAGAGAGAGCAGCCTGGGCAACATAGCAAGATTCTCAGTTTTAAGAGAGAGAGAGAGAGAGAGAGAGAGAGAGAGAGAGAAAAGAAAAGCAGTATTAATTGACTTTTTAAAACTAAAGCATTAAATTAGTCCGTTAAATATTATTATTAGATAGTAATTTTACGACAATTGGCAAAAAAAATCTAGTGATAATGTACAGCACAAAA